GGCCAGCTCTTCTCGCCTATCAAGAAGGAGCGGGACGTGAATTCTCACAACGGCGGCGGCAGCAGCAGCAGAAGAAAGATCATCGACAAGGAGAAGGCCTGAAGGAAACTACCGCCGCATGGCCAAGGTAATCCCCCATTTCTGCTGCATCTGGGTGCAAATTTTGTTGGGTGTGTATAATGACTGATCTAGGTAAGTTTTGCTTCGCATTTCTTCCAATTTTGATGTGTGTATAGTTGCGGAATCCATCGTTCGTCTCTCTTGCTGCTTCGGTTTTGTTCCTTTAGGCGTTTCTTTTCGGCTTATCAATGCTTGCGTTTCCTATCGATTTACCTGTCCAGAGGCAAAAGCAAAAGTAGCGGGACCCGTCGATGCATCCAATCAGATGCAGGTGGGTGTGGGGGTAAGGCTCTCTCGTTTATTCACTTTGGTCTGTCCATCCGAGACCGCCCATCTCACCGTCTTTTTAATCTGAACCGTCGGTGCATATCGGACAAGATTTAAGACCTAAAATGTTAAGCTGGGTTGTTGGGAGATGGTGAAGGATGTGAATGAGAACCGAGGCCGGGCGATGATGGCTCTGCCGAATAATATCGCACGTCGGTCTGATCCGAAACCCAGACCTCGTTCTGATGGAAGCATGTGATGGTGCTGTTGAGAAAAAGTGTTTAGGTTATGAAGCGGGAGTCAAAGTTGGACTGATGGGAGGGGGTGTGCTCGGGGCGCAGCGTCTGAGGGATGAGTTTCTTTCTCGAAATTTAAAATGAGTGTTTCTGTGCCGCGGGGGCAGGCTTTTCAGAGGCCCAGCACCTGCCTCTGCGCTCAAAGATTCCCTGGTCAAGACTGATTTATTGTGTTCTGGGTTAGAGAGAGAATGAAATTTGAAAAAGGGCTCTTATTCTATGAGTTTAAGCAATTTAGGAGCTTTAAATTACAATTTTAAAATAGAAAGAAAATTTTGAAATTTGTGAAAACTAGTTTAGTTTTTAATGATTAAGATGTAATGTTTGGATGGAATTAGTATAAAAAAGATAAGGAAATTAAGGCTCTTTTAATTTTATTAACATTTGTCTCAATAAAATTTTAAATAATTATGAAGATTTTACTATAAACTAAAAATAGAAATTTGAATACTTTTGAGTTAGTTATGGATGTTAGCTTCTACCAAACACCATGATGAAAAATATTTGGATAGTAGTTCTTATGGCTGGAGCTGGAGTTCACCATGTTCTAGGGGAATGAATCTCCACTAAATCGATTTATTGGGCTTGTTTCATTCTGTCTCACTTTCAGTAGACAATTGGCTTAATCGAAGAATACTTTCAATGCCTTGAGAAGGTAACTCCCCTCGATGCACGTGTTTAAATTATTGAACTTCCAAAGTTTGGTGAATTATCTCTCAACTTGGTTATTTTAATTTGTCATTAGTGTAAGTGCCAAATCCGATGATTAACATGCTGTAATTAGTGGTAATAGACAAGATGAAGAAGAAGAAGAAGAAGAAGCTCACTTTCTTTGGTTGCAGGGATTCCCTACAACTTGAGATGTAGTTAGCCACTATAATTATTGATACGTGGCAATGGTCCTTAGTATTCTATCTTCTTTTTGCGTGTGGGAACTGTTCATGGCGGCAAACCGTGCCCCTGCCACCAGAGACTGGTGGGGTCCACTTTTGTTGGTCCCGGGCTTAAGTCTTGTGGGTCATATCCAGGTAAGGTTTGGGCTTAGGTTTGCAGTTCCCGACTTATCCATGGGCCGACCTTGATCATATCATCAGAAATATAAATCAATAAAGAATGCACGATATATATATATATATATATATATATATATATATATATATATATATATATATATATATATATATATATATATATATATATATATATA